GGGGCCGAAGACGGGGGGCCTTCCACGGTCAGTCAAGGGGCTCTCGCGCAGCTGCGGGCAGATGGAGCTCGCCTGGTACTCGTTGATCCGCTGGGCAGCCCACAAGCTCCACGTGAAGCTCATCGGGAAGACGGCCCAGCACGGACTCACCAGATCGTGCCTCTCCAGTGTCCTGCCTTCCCAGATCTGGCCCTCCGCGCCGAGCAAGTACGCTGGCACGACGGGGAGGCAGAGGTACTCGGAGAGCCATCCAGGAAGTCGCAACCAGTTGAAGCAGTCCTTCACGTCGGCCAGGCCCACGTGCAAAGAGTAGCTGCCGAGGAGCCGCTCCGCCTCCTCGCTCCAGGGGCCCAGGCCATCTGGCAGGGCGATCTCGACTCGGCTGAGGCCCTCCGCGCTCAAGAGGCTGACGCCCGGCGGCGGCTCGAATAGAAGGTTCGCGGGCCTGGCGTCAAGGATGAGCCTGAGCCGCTGACCTCCGTCCTTCTCGACAAAGAAGAGGCCGACCTGGCATCGCGGGCGCGTGGTCCAGCCCACCAAGCCGCGTCGGCGCAGGTCGCTGATGAACTGTCTGTAGGTCTTCACGCTGCGCTTCAGCGCGGGGTCGAAGTAAGGCGTCACGGTAGAAGAGGGGCTGTCAGCGCGCAGCATGCGCTCGGGATGTTCCTTCAGGAATCGCTGGACCTCTGGAGGGGCCACGTCCTCAAACGGCGGGCAGCCCTCCACTGTCTCGGGTAACGAAACAAGGCCATTTCTGAAAGGCGCGACACGGGCGAGGCATCCCGTCCCATCGCACGGTGCATGCCCGCGCAGCAGCCGGCGGACGGCCGCGCGTTCACTGAGAGCGTCAGGACCTGGGTACCGCCGCGAGGCTAACTCGCAGATCCGCTCCAAAACTTCAAGCTGCATCGGGTCGGGATCGAAGTAGGCCGGTCCGTCCCGAAAGCCAGCAAGCCAGTTCAGAGCATCCACCGCCTCGTTACCCATCTTGAACACCAGCCTCTCGCGCCGCCGCAGGGCCATACTCCGAACGGAGTCGGCCACGGGCAGCTCAGGCAGGCGCCAGCGCGGCAGCGGGAACAGCTCCCTGGCACAGCGCGAGGCGGCAAGCCGACCCCGCGTCACCCCTGAATCTCGGCCGGGGACGGGGTCCCCCCCGGCCGTAGGGGCCATCATTGCCCCTTGGGGGGAGCGTCAGCCCCCCCCGCGCCTCCCTTCGGGTTCCTCGGTGGCGGGCGCCCCGGCCGACCCTTGCCGCCGTCGTCGATGGTGCCGTCGCCCTCGGTGCGCTGCGGGCCCTTGCCATACGAGAGCACCGCGTGGGCCTCCTGCTGCTCCTTCATCTTCCTGGTGGCGAACTGCAGCAGGGCCTGACCCGCGATGTCGTCCGAAGACGCGGCGCCAGTGTACAGGCGGGCGCGGCCCCACACAGGCTTGGCCGGGTCGGAGTACACCGCCACCAGCCCCGCGATCCTCCTCGCCGCCGTCTCCAGGCACATCAGGCCGCCTAGATTCACTTGGTCGCAGACCGCGGCCCAGAAGAGGATGTCGCAGAGAACGCGCATCTCATGCGCCACTCTGTCATTGTCGCCGATGCCCTTGGACCTCAGGAAGTCCCTCAGCCAGGATCTGGGGTCGCCGCTCGTACGCTCCATGTTCTTGCATATCGTCAAGGCCGAAGCTGGCCCCTCGATGGGCTGGTCGGGGAAGGTCTCTTGCGAACTCTCTCGGCAGGCGGTCCCGAAGGGCTTGTACCTCTCTCCCTGCGCGTCGTAGTCCACCTCCAAGATACGAAGATCGCCGCCGTCGCCGCCCCCGGCCCCAAGCGGAGGGGTCGCTGCGCCGCCGACCTCGTCTGGCCCGGCAGCGCCTCCAGCGCCCACAGGGCGGCCCAGGCGCTCGCGGTCCGCCATCCCAGCGGGGGCGACTCCCTCGCGGTCGGACTCGGCGGCGGGGAAGTCGCTGAGGCCCATCTCGCGCCGCCGCCTCGCCGCATAGCCGGGGAGGTCTCCCGCCAGCAGGGCCTCCACGCGGCGCGGGCCCTCAGGGAACATGAAGAGGCCCACCAGCGCGGTCGCCGGCACGAAGCGGTCGTCGGAGCGATCCACGGTGGTGCCCACCGCCGCGCTCTCCGTGGGCTCGGCACCACCCAGACGCGGTCGCCCACCAGCGGGGCGAGGGGCGGCTTCCCTCGCAGCCGCAGCACCACTGGCCGCCTCGCCGAAGAGGTCCGCCCACTCCACCAGCCTGTCGTCCGGGCACGCTACCTCCGCAGGCGGCCTGGGCGCGATCCCTGGCAGACGCTCCTCCACCAGCGCGCGGCCACGCACGATCGCCGCCTTGAGCTCCTCCACCGAGAGGGCCGTCCGAAAGCGGTAGATCGGCCGCGGCCAGCCCTCGGGCGCGCCTCCGCCTGCTGGCCTCAAGGCCGCGCCCTCGGGCCCAGTCTGCGGGCTCGCGCCCGTGTAGTCCCCCTCGTACTCGTCGCCGTCAGGCGTCAACGCGGCCCAGGTGCCCGGCGGCAAGCTCGGGTAGAGGAGCACGCGTTCGTGATCCACCTGATCGTCACTATATCTTACGACGAGCCGCTGGCCAGGCAGCAGCCGCCTCCACCACTCCAGCCCCTCGTCTCGCGGGAGCAGCGCCATCGCGCCCTCCGATCACAGCCTCCGCAGCCTTGGGCCTTCGGCCACAGCAGCCTCGCAAGGCGCGGTGCGCCTCCAGCAGCAGCGCCACCAGCACGCCAGGGACCGCCGCCACGAGGGCGCCGAGAGGGTCCGCCTCAGGCTCCGCCTGAGCCTGCGCCAGCTCGGGGGCCGGGCAGACGGCGGGAGTCGCCTCGCAAGGCGGCGCCTCGGGACAAGGAGGACAAGCGTCTCCTCCGTCCTCGGGCGGCAGCCACGCGGGCGGGCACACGGCCTCCAGATTAAGGAGTCCAGGGGTCTCCCATTTAGATTGGTTCGTTTCTGACCTGTCTCATCAAATCATTTCGCTCACAACCTTCCCGTGCACGCACTGATATATATATATATATATATATATATATATATATATATATATACCTTCTCGAATATTCTTATAAGGACCCCCCCCCCGTACATAAATTCGGCCCCTCGGACGTGAAAGTCGAATGTTCGGATTCGGACCCCCTCCAGGCCGCCCTGCGCCGCTCGGCCAGGCCCACGAACGCTTCCCGGACGGTCCCGAGGAGACCCGAGACGGCCCAAGATCGCTCCGGGACGGCCCATGAGCGCTCACAGAGGGACCACACACGGCCCAAAAGGCTCCCAAGAGGTCCCAAGAGAGCTCAGAGAGGCTCCCCAAGAAGGCTTCGAGAGACTAATTTCGTCAATTTCGTACAGTTTTTCAGAGTATTTGGCCGTTTCCGCTTTCTCCGCTTTCTGCACTTCACGACGGCCCCATAGGCCCCCAAAACCGCCCAAAGGAGGCACAAGAGGTCCCCACGACAGCCCCAGGACGGCCCAAGACGGCCTCAAGACTCTCCAACGAGCGCCCGGGACGAGCCCAGGAGGCCCCAAGACTCCCCCAACAGAAGCCGAAAAGGAGGAACATGACGCACCAAGAGGCCCCCGAGAGGCCCCAGACTCTCCCCAGACGCCCCAATCAGGTCTCAAGCCCCCGAGAGGCCCAAAAAATGCCCCCAGGGATCCCCAAAACAGCCCCCAAGACGGCTCAATAACGCACCCAAGGGTCTCCCAATGCGGCCCCAGGAAGCTACAGTCATTAACATCCTTCGGAAATAAATACGCTCCCACCTCATTTGTGCCCTGGGCTTCCACGACGGCAACAATGAGTCGACAAGACGTGCAAGCTCCGCGAGCCCCCCTATGAGCCCTATGGACCCTATGAGCCCTATGCGCCCTACGACCCCTACGATCCCTATGAACCCTACGGGGCTTATGAGCCCCATCTATGACCCCTACGAGCCCTATGAGCCCTATGAGCCCTATGAGGAGCCCTACGAGCCCCATGAGCCCTGTGCGCCCTATGATCCTTACGATCCGTGTGAGCCCCATGAGCCCTATGAGCCTTATGAGCCGTGTCAGCCCGATGAGCCCTATGAGCCCCGTGACCCCGGTGAGCCCTATGAGCCCTATGAGCCCTATGAGCCCTATGAGCCCCATGAGCCCTACGAGCCCTATGAGCCCTGTGAGCCCGATGGACCCACTGAGCCATATGAGCCCGATGAGCCCTACGAGTCCTGCGAGCCCTATTAGCCCCATGAGCCCTGCAAGCACTGTGAGCCCTATGGGCCCCAAGAGCCCTGTGAGCCTGATGGCCCCTATGAGCCCTACGGGCCCTATGAACCCTATGCGCCCTACGAGCCCTACGAGCCCCATGAGCCCTATGAGCCCTATGAGCCGTACGAGCCCTATGAGCCCCATGAGCCCTGTGAGCCCTACGAGACCTATGAGCCGAGTGAGCTCTACGAGCCCTTTGAGCCCTACGAGCCCTATGAGCCCTATGCGCCCTATGAGCCCAAGACGGCCCCAATACAGCCCCAAGACAGCCGAAGACACGCCCAAGACAGCCAAAGAGAGTTCCAACAGGGCCGCAAGTCAGCTCTAATCCTGCGGTACCACTGCTCCCTTTCTGCATGTGCCCTCTGTGAGCTACATGAGCCACATGCTCCCCTATGCTGCTACATGACCCCCATGAGCCCTACGAGCCCTGCACCGTCCTCCGGAAGTTCTCGGGCTGACGAGCCCTACAAACCGCACGCTGAAGTGGAGGCAGGACATGGCGAAAGAGCACTGCCAAGCCCGTCCGGTCAGGCCACATCCCTGCTCGAATCCATGCGCCTCTGCAGCGTCCTCGTACTTTACTTCGCTCCCCTTCTCCCCCCCTCTCTGCCTTCTCTACCTCCCTCGTGTGCTTCTTTGCAAATCCTTCTTCCGCACATTTGCTGCTCGCCCAATCCCAGTGGCCACTCGGCTCGAACTTCTTTCCCTTCGCGCTCTGCTGTGTTTGCGTTCCCCATGGCAGCAAACCCGCCCGCCAAACGCAAGCATCGATGTTCCACAGGTGGCGTGCCGCCTTTGACCACGATCGACGATGCAATTTTTGCGGCGTCGTGGGCAACTCTTTCGTCCACTTGCAGCGCCAATGGCGTTCCGTGCGGCGGAGCCCGCAGCATCTTGCTGCAGCGCTTGGCCGCGCATTGGACGGAGCCCGACCCACCGCCGCGCACGGATACCTCCTGGGCTCTTCGGAAGATTCGGACACTGGAGGCTGAGCTCGTCGCACTGCGCGCGGGCGACGACGCCGATGCCGACCTTCCTTGCGTAGACCCCATCCTCGCCATCGAGGACGCGCCAGCGACGTTTCCCATCGCTGACGAGCCCCCTGCTGCGGACGCCGAGGCCTCGTCACCGGAGGGTCCTGGCCCTGCCAGAGAACCACCCTGGCGGCCAGACCCGGACTTCCAGGACTTTGCAGACAACCTTCTCCGGGACGCATCGGCTGCGTTGTCCGTGTGGACTCGCATGGACCAGCGCGCCGACGTGGTCACCATGTACCACGCGTACGACGAGCTTCGCTCCAGACCGGCTTGCACCGAATCCCACGCGCTGTGGTGGCTGTCCTTGCTGCACATCGTGCCTCGCCGTCGGCCTGTTTGCGCCGCCCTAGCGGCGCTGGCCGCGGCCTCCACCGAGCCAACAGAGGCCAACGCACTCGCCATGGCAGCAGCTGTCCGTGCCTACCCCGTGAAGGAGACTCGCTGGGACACGTCGCGCCCAGTGGGGGGCACACCCGTTCTAGACCAACTCCTGCGCAGCCCCACGGGCATGCACAGCCTGCTCGACCACGCCGCCGCCACTGCGGACCTGCAGCTCGAGGCTAGAACACCGCGAGCCCTCGACCTCACCCTCGAAACGTCGAAGACGAAACTCCCCCTCTTGCACGCGGGGTGCAAGTACACTCGGGGACACCATCTGCGGCTTATAGACGCCCTGGCTTCCAGGACGGTCGACACGGAATGGTCCGCCGAGGACTGGGACACTATCGCGCGCTATCTCCCTGGAACCGCCGAGGGCGCTGCCGAGCTCGGCATTCTGAACTTCGCCGCGGCGCGCCGGCACCTGGAGTGGATTAATGGCCGCTTCGGCCCAGGACAAAAACCGCTCCGACTGCGGGACCTCACAATGGCTTTCTGCCTGCGTCCGCGCCTGCCCAAACTGCACAAGGACGACGGCGTGCCGTTCGCGTAGACGCGACTGCTGACCGCCCCGCCACAGGGCCGCCTCGCCGCCTCGCGCTCCTCCTCCTCTCCTCTTACACTCTCCATGCTGTACTCCGCCTTCTCCGCCATGCTTGCGCCTCTCCCGCCATACTCCTCTCCAGCCCTATGAGCCTCATGAGCTCTATAAGCCCTATGACCCCTGCGGGCCCTGTGCACCCCATGGGCCCCATGCCGCTCAGGGCGTTCACGCGGGTGAAGCGCGCTGAGAGCCCTTTCAGACTCATGCACCCCACGGCCCACGCTAGCCCACAGAGCATGACGAGCCCTATGAGCCCCATGGGCCCCGTCGACCCTATGAGCCCTACGACCCGGACGACCCGTCCTGAACCTGATCACCCTTCCGGGCCCAGTGGGCAAAATGACCGCCATGGGCCCCATGATCCGAGGAAACCCCATGAGCCGACGCGGTCCACGTGGCCAAAGACCATTGGTTTCGGCGATGCCTTGGGCGCTCCGCGCCTCCGCGCCCAATAAGCTCATCAGCCCGAGAGCCCCTTCTGAATTCAAGCTCGGCTGCGGACACTGGAAACCCCATGGCCCCCAGGTGCCGCGATGCCCGACGTTTCCCATCTCCACATTCCGCCCCCGAACTTCTAAGATCCAGTCACGGCAAAGAGCCTTTCAGCACACTGACCCAAAGAACCCAATGAGTCGTATCAGCCCTATGGGCCCCGTGAGCCTCATTGCCAAATCAGACCGCGGTGCGTGCGACCACGGGTCGAGGCGAACCTCGCTGACGCCATGCGACCAAGATTTTAAAGGCGAAGCGAAGCGAGCCGGTAAAATCTTGTATATATATATATACACACCTATATATATATATATACACCTATATATATATACATCTATATATAAAGATACATACATACATACAACATGTTTAAAGGCTTGGTGGGGCCTTCTGGAAGCCTCCTGGGCTCCTTCTGGGGGCCTTGGGGGCATCCCCGGGTCACCCTGCTTCCAACCGCGGTCTCCGTGGACGACCGGGTCACGATTTGGAATGATTCGGGAGCCGTCGTGGGGCCATCTTTGGGGCCGTCATGGGGCTCTCTTCGGGCTATCTTGGGACCCTGTTGGGCCGTCTTGGGGCTCCTCTTGGACTGCCTGGAAGCCCTATTGGTGAAATTTAGGTCGATTATCTGGCCTCCTGGGCGGTCTCGTACGCCCGGAAGACCGGAGAACAGAGCATCCCCAACATCATACAACAAAATAAGAAATCCATGTTTTTTTGTTGCGTTTCGAATGCCTCTTGGGGATCTTCTTCGGTCGTCTTGGGGCGACTGGTGGGTGTCTGGGGCCTCCATGCGCTCTGGTGGGGTCGTCCAATCGCCCTCCTGACCGACTTGGGCCTGTTGCCTAGGCCCAGCAAGGGCTTCGGGAGCCCCGGAAGCCGGAAAGCACATGCAGAGGATCGTCTGCAAGGGCATCCAGGGCACCCCTGGGGTCAAGGATCCGGAAGAGGGGTCCCGTTTAGGGAGTGGGGGGGTCGCCGGGTACCCCTACTGCTACTCCCCGGTCCTCTCCCTGTGCGCCTCCCGACATAATTTCGAAGCAGGCGTGGCGACGAGGGACTTCTCAAAAAGGCCGAAACGAAGGCAGAGCAGCGGTATCATTTTTGGGGGAGGGGCGGCGCGCACATGGGAGTGGCGCGAGTGGGGGGGGCCTCCTGAGAAGGCCGGGGGAGCTTCCTGTAGGCGGCAGAGGGAAAAGCCCGGATGCCTCCAAGAATCCTTCTTGGAAGCCCCCCGGCCCTTCCAAGAAGGCACCTGCGGTCGGGAGCTTTTGCTCAGCGTTGTCGCTTCGGCGCGCACATGGTAGTGTTGCGAGGGGGGAAGGGGCCTTCTGAGACGGCCAGGGGGGCTTCCTGTAGACAGCAAAAAGCTTCTAAGAATCCTTCTTGGAAGCCCCCCGGCCCTTCCAAGAAGGCACCTGCATACGGCCGGGAACTTTTGCTCAGCGTGGTCGCTCTGGCGGCCCGGCGACACGCCGTGCCCCCCGAACGGGGAATTTTAGCGTGCCCCACCGCTCCGCGGGGCGGGGGGCTCGGAACAGCTCGGGGCCGTTGGCGCTGGGGGGCCGGGAAGCGGATAGCGAGCCGCGCCGCAGCGCGGTGGGCCAGGACCAACAGAGCGACACACGCTCAGCCAGTGCTCCTGACCATGAGCCATGGGGGGCCCCGCGTCTCCTTAGAAGGCCCCCCCCCTCGCGCTACTCCCTTTTGCGCGCCGCCGACGTTTCCTTTTCCTCCCCAGACACCCGACACTTCCGTCGGCGGCGAGGCAGAGGCAGTCCGCACCAGCGCGGGGCCAATCGGGGCAACCGAAGGGCGACTTGTCCGGCGTGCAAGAGGAAGGGACGAGGGCGAGATCGGCCGCGCGAGGGGAGGAGGGCAGCAGAGCTGCACACGCTCAGCCAAGGTTGCTGACCAGAAGGGGCCCCGCGTCTCCTCAGAAGGTACCCCCCCTCTCGCGCTGCTCCCTTGTGCGCGCCGCCGACTCTTCCTCTTCCCCAGACCCCCGACGTCATGGTTGTTTCGTGACGTGGGCCCCTAGCTTTTCATCCCGACGTCATGGTTGTTCTCCGGGACTAGCTTTTCATCCCGAGGCGTTTTTTACGGTCCCAGATGATGAGAAAGGCAATGATCATGTTGGGAAGAAGGGGTTGGGAGGATACAGGGCATGAGCAAAAACATTCGGATGCAATGGACGATACCTTCGGCCACCTGCGTCTAGAGAAACGGAAACGTGTTGCCGCCGCAGCGCATGGGCCGCCAATCCCACGCCGCGCAAGCATCCTAAGAAGCGGGTTGCAACCTGCAGCCTACTTCGTGGTCCTCATGGGGCCCACTTGGAGCCCTGTCGAGGCCTTCGGTGAGGCCGTCCGAGAGCACTCCTGTCTGTGTTCTGCGCCTTCTCGGAGCCATCTTGGACCATCCCGGGCGTTGACGCGACGCGACGAGCACTGGGGATGGATCAAGGGCATGAGCAACGCTGGGGGGGTGCCGCAATTGCCCAGTGAATAGTGAATTCCGCATCGGGTTTTGTATTGCGATCCCCTGCTGATGCGAAATTCCCTCGTGAATTCCCCTCGTGCTGATACAAATTTTAACAGTTTGCGTGACCGCGGCAACTTCCTTTTTGCGTTCCGCTCCTTGTGCGGAAGTAACAATGACTTCCGTATTGTGCCCCTTTCGTGATACGGAATCACTGCTGCATTGATCCGCTTCCGTTGTTCATGGGTTGCATCACGACTTCCGCATGAATCGTCGGCACCAGCGGTGCAGCATCGTTGCCGATCGGACCCAGTAGGTAATGCCAGACTATACTGCCTCAGCCCGTGATGCGCAGAGCAGGGTTCTTCAGGAGGAGCTGCTGAAGATGGAAGAGAGACGCGTGAGTGCGATGAGCGGGAACGTTGTTTCCAGCAGAAGCACCAGCATACTCGGCAGGCCATTCAATATCAAGAGGGTTTGGAGGATGCGATGGCCAATGGAAGTACGTATGATTGCGGAAGTACGTGAATCATACGGATGCTTTGCTCATTTCTCCAAGCCCCCTCCACCCAACTCGATAATTGCCCTTCTGACCAGAGCCCGGTAAGGGACCTCTGAGGCCGAACATATGAAAACACCACCCATCACGATTACTGTTCACGACCCGAAGGGGTCTGGGTTTGAGGGCCCCGCACCTGCGCCCCCACCTCTGGCAGCGGCTTCCGTGCCGCCGCGGCCAGCGCCGCGGCCTTCATGACCTTGCCCAGGCTCCGTAAAACCCCAGACAACCTGGACCCAGACATCCAACATCCCTCGAAACCATTGTTTCGCAGACAGCGGCGCGAAAAACAAACTGTACTGCAACATTCCTGGAATACGCAAACTCGGACGCACACCCTAGCCTGCAAAACCTACCATAGACCCAGACAGCGACACGAAGCCTGCAGGGCGGCAGAGAAGCATACACTGGACGACAAAATCTGACTTTGCAGGCAGGGGCGTCCGTTCCCCGACTTGCTGTCCTGGACTCTGGAGGCCTGACCTTGCGGCGGCTGCCCTCCTCTGGGTTCCACGGGGGCCAGTCGGGCGCGTAGCAGGACACCACCGCGTTGGGAAGGAGGTGCTCCGCCAGCCGCGCCAGGAAGCGCCGGCCGTAGACCACCTCCATCACGGCGCTGCTCTTGGGAGGGTCCAGGATGGCGGCGTCGAAGGGCCCCTCCGATTTTGCCCACAAGGAAATCGCCCGAAGGTCCGCTCGCTTCGTCAGTATCGGCCCGGACGCAGAGGAAACGCTGCAAAGGAACCCCGCCTGTGTGTGCAAACAGGGTCGAGGAGGGGGGGAGGAACTCAGGACCAGGAGAGTGCCATGGCAAGCAGACGCGGCAAGCGGTGTTGTGTCGAAGCCCCAGGCGGCCTGAAGTGGCCAGTACTAACGTCCAGCACGAGCGTCGAAGGGCCCCTCCGTGGAAGCCGCCCCGAAGTCGGGCCGAAATCAAGATGGGGCCCGACGTCTTCGCGCCGCGTCGCCGACGCATCGGCGATGCGCTCGGCGAGGTCGGGACGGAGAAAGTCGGGCTCCGGTGCGCGCTGCACCGCCGATGCACCGGCGACGCGCGGAACCCACCGACCCCATCTCAGAAGAAGAGATCTGCACACGGCCGGGCCTGGGCCAGGAGAACATCCCTCGAGAACAGGAGACCCTCCGCCAGCCAGAATGAAGCACGTTCGAGGGGAAGCTCCCCCGGATGCACCAGAGCAGCCAACAAGCACGAAGAGCAGTCGTGCACTCTTCCTGAAACGACGAGCTCGATCTTACGCCTCGGTCCGGCCGCAAGCGCAAACCTTCGGAGGCCTGCGCAGACGTCTTGGCTCGGCGCTGGACGTCCCCCCCAGCGAGCGAAGCGGCTCTGGAGGCGCCGCCAGGGGGGGCCCTTGCGCCGACATCCGCGAACAGTCCCGCGCGGAACTCCGAGGAGTTCTGCTCACAGCTGCTCTGCTTCGAGATACACCGGCGGCGCGGCGAAAGCCATCGACCCCATCTGGCCCCATCTGGCGGCGCGCCGAGGGGGGTAAGGGGTAGGGGGGCAGGCTTCTCAGAAGCACCCTGCTTCTTGGAGGGCCCCGGCCTCACGTCTATATAGAGAAGGCCAGCGCCTTATGCGAAGCAGGGGTGCTTCCAAGAAGCCTTCCCACCTCGCCCTACCCCCCCCTTCTGCGCGTGGCCAATCCATTCAGGCGGCCTCTTGGCACGAAGCTGAGAAGCGGGCCCCAAGGGACAGGGGCCCCTGGATCTAGAGTTAGGTCGGGCATGTCCCCCATACAGGGGGATTTGGGGCAAAAAATCAACAATACCCCAAACATGCACCAAACAAATTCAAAACATGGTTTTTTTGAAGATCGTCCCCGGATTATTTCTGGACTGGTTTTGGATATTCCCCCTTTAGAGGGACAGGCCCGATTTATACCTAGAGGGCGTCTCTCCCCGCGAGCGGCTCCTCATCCCGCCTCGTTTCTCGGCTGTCCTGGGGCCCGCTGAGGGCCCCCGGCAACCCGACAACGGCGAAGGCCTGCGGACCCGTTCCCCTCAGGCTTGAATGGGGACCGACCGACCCGGCATTCCCATAGGGCTACCCCGACATGCTCTTAGAACAGCAAGTGTTCTAAGAGCAAAGGCAATGTTCTTAAAACAAAACAATGCGCTTCAACAAAACAATATCAGCCAGAAATGTTCTAAGAACATTTAGTGCAACTCACAAAAGCATAACATTATTTGGTGGGCCGATAGGCTAGCCAGGACGCTGCGCCACTGCTCGAGTTTGCACCGAAGTGCCGCAAACAGATGCCCCCTGCATGCCCCACCGATCGGCAGCCATGGCGAGCTGCCTGCGGCTGGGAGGCACCTGCTTTGGGCGGTTCGGTGCAATAAAACAACGATCGAACTCACACATACACACCCTGGTAATGAGCCGAACTCTACACATCGACGCTTTTTCTGGCCCCACATTGAAATTCGCACTGAAAAACGGATCCTGGTGTATACGGGATCCTGGTGTATACACTTTTCGCTGTTTCCCCGGGAAAACGGGGAAAAAAGCATACACCAGTCCACCCCGACGTCGTCCCCGACCCTCGAAAAGTCGCAGGATTGAAAAACGGCCCGCCACTGGTCATGTAACCTGTTCCAGTTTCCGGCCTGGGGCACACACACACACACACACACCTTGCGGGACCCCGATCATGGCGAGGCGCGGGCCTTCGCGGATGGCTCCTCGGCCAGCAGCCGGAACAGCTCCGGCCGCCTCCCGCAGGCCGCGGGCCCCACCTGCGGGGAGAGGGGGAGGGGGGCCACGTTGGGGGGGGCGGGACCGGCCCAGGGGGCGAAGCACGGACCTGGGATCGGCGATAGCCCGGCGATAGGCCCCGGACACAATCAAAACTTGCAATGTCAGCTTGTGGTTAACGAATCCGTGGGGGGCGCGTCATTACAAAAATCGCGCCCCGCGGGGTCCGTTCATCAGCCCCGGGGGGGGGCGGCATCATTTGCTAACCACAAAATGACATTGGTAAGGACGGGTGGCAAATACGCAAGAGCCTTGAAGGCCGCAGCTGGGATTTTTGTTTGTTGGCTGGCGAGCGACCAGCAAAAACGGCAAAGGACGGGGCCGCAGAGGCAAGGACACGAGGGCACCCTGGATGAAGGCGCGCGTCCTTCGTAGGCGCGTGGACTGCACACCGGCGATAAGACCCTGACAGCGAAGCCGCACGCTCCCGGGCGGGGTGGGGTGGGGCTCTCGGGCCCCCACTGGCGACCACAGTGGGCGGTAGGGGGCCGAAGAATCCCCACTCGGCCCCCATCCCCCGCTATGACGTCTCGGGCCATGCCTCGGCTCCCCGGCTGCCCAGTAGGGACGATCCGAGCACCCCCTGGAGGGCCCGCGGCGAGGCGCGGCCGTCGGGGGGCACCCCGAGGCTGAAAGCCGCCGCGGACCGACGAACACGTCAGAATAGCTCGAGCCTCGAACCGAACCGACCGCATGCAACCGACTGCGGCGCAACCGAACCGAACCGTGAACACCCCATCCTCGCCATGCCGAGAACCAGAGCCGTCGCCACCCGAGGCAGCACCAGCTACACGGCAGACCTGGTTTAGCAATTCCAGGTCATGCTCCCAGACATGCGACGTCCTGATTTTGTTCAGGACGGGGTCCCTGGAAGCCTCGACCCGTTACCCAGGACTGTGATTTCATCCTGGGTAATGTTTTGACGATCCCGAGGCCCGGCGAAATGGCCGAAAACCTTCCGTCCTGATTTTTGTTGTCGACGCGATCACTTCTGGGTTGTTTTGGGCTTCGGGGCCCACTCACTCTAAGCTGAGGGCAGAACATCCACCCTCATAGTAATCGCCCCGACACGCGAAGCCGTTCCGTAAACGCACACACAGAAGGGCCCACTCACTCTAAGCTGAGGGCAGACCATCCACCCCCATAGCAATCGCCCCGACACGCGAAGCCGTTCAGTAAACGCACAGAAGGAGTCGAACAGGGCAGGGGTGCCCCAGTAAACGCCCAGGGCCGTGTAGTGAACGCCACTTATCGGGTCTGGGTGGCTTTTTTGTCCCTTGATAACCGGTTCCCTTGACTCGGGAGCGGCCAAGAGGGGGGTGTCCAAGAGGGGGGGGTGCAAATCATGACCGGCGGCATGTGCGCGGCCCAGCGGGGGGGCCAGGGACGCAATGGAATAAGAAGAGGCGCCACAAAATCTGAGGAAATATCATGGCTCCTGCCATGACATCCACCCCCCCTAGTCATCACCCCCCTCTTTGCCGCCCCCGATTGACCCGGGGTCCCGAGCCCCGAGCTTCGGCGGCCGGATCATCTTCACTTGCGCGGGCGTCTCCTGAGCCTTCCCCCCCCCCAACTGCGGGGCCCAAACATATACACCACCACCACCAGCTCCCTCCCCCTCTCCCTCCCCCAGGAAGGAGGCGAGGAAGGCGAGCGCAGTGGAGGGAGGAGGAATCGACGTGGTGGTGGAATCGACGTGGTGGTGGTGTCTATCCTTGGGGCCCGCGCTGACGCTGACCCCGACCACCGCGTCGCACAGCAGCACGCAGGCCCGCCGGTCGTCGGCCGGCGCGGACAGCACCGACGGCGAGGGCAGCAGCGAGGCGAAGCGCTTCGCGTCCGCGTGCTCCGGCTTCTCCAGCCGCGCTCGGCGGGCCACCCTCGGATATGGCCAGGCGCAGGGCACTCCCCTGAGATCCAGACACCCACGAAGAAAAGGCAGCAGGAGGAGGAGGAGGAGGAGGAGGAGGAGGAGGAGCAGCAGCAGCAGGAGCAGCAGGAGGAGGAGGAGGAGGAGGAGCAGCAGCAGGAGGCGGGCGGTTCCTCGCCGTGCTCGGCCCCTGCATGGGGGCACCACACAGGCCCTCGGAGCCGTCGAAAAAGGGGCCAGGGATGAGAGGCCGGTCCCGGGGAGAATGGGTCCAGACCGCGGGGGGGCCCACGTCAGCAGCAAAACTCGTGACGTCGGGTGTCTGCGGGGTGTGGGCGTTGCATCTTTTCCCGCCGGGCGCTCTCGCCGCGAATTCTCTCTAGCCCCAGGGGCTCTCCCAGATCGATGCGCCTCGGAGAGATGCCGCGGAAAGATGCCGCCTCGGGGCGGCCTCGGGGCCGTCGCAGCTCGACCCGGCTCGCCACATGCCGCAGGAGGACGGGGTCTATACGGGGCTGCTGTCGTGTTTTTTCTCTCGGTGTTGCGTTTTTCTCGCGACGTCGAATCTCAAGGTCCCTGCTCCCCGGGGCCGCGCAAACATGGATTGGCGATCCATGGATTTGGCGCGCGGTCGCCAAATCCATGGATCGGGGGAGGTGCCCTCCCCAAGATGCGGCCGGTGCCGCCTCGTCCGGCGGCGGAAATCCGCGATTCCCCATGGAAACGGGACCCGTCGCTAATCCACGCCTCCTTAACGAGGGTGTCATTAAGTTATGCCTCGCCAGTGCTTGCAAGAAAGCTTCGTGACCCTAGCAAGAGGAGGAGGAGGAGGAGGAGGAGGAGGAGGAGGAGGAGGAGGAGGAGGAGGAGGAGAAGGAGGACAAGGAGGAGGAGGACAAGGAGGAGGAGGGAGGGAGGAGGGAGGGCCAGTTTATTCACCGCAGAGATCTCCACGGGGGGGGTCAGAACTAAAGACTTCTAGAGGTTAATCTATGTTTGCGTGCGCCCGAGATCCGCATCCAGGCGCTTCTCGGCACGCCCGAAGCGGGTACGAACAAAACGAGGGCCCAGCGCGCGGCAGCAGACGTGGCCGCCAGGCGCCCGCTGCTGGCGCCTGGCGGCCGCTGCTGGCCAGGCGGCCTTCTGCCTTTTACTTTTAAAGGGACACCGTCCACGGCGACGCCGACGGCGAGTCCGATTCAAAATGGCTAGTCGGGAATCTATCCCCAGACATGATCGAGTCGCAAAAAAACAGGACGGGAGGTTTTCGGCCATTTTCGGCCTCGGGGGGCCCTCGCCGGACCTCGGGAGCGTCAACAAAAACGACCCAGGATGAAAAACCGGTCCCGGGGAACGGGTCGAGACTTCCAGGGACCCCGTCCTGAAAAAATTTGGACGTCGCATGTCTGGGTCCATATCCGCCGTCTGGGGAACCGACGTCCTGGGACCCCGGCGGGCGGTGGATGGGGATGTATTCGGGCCCCAGGGGATCCAAACACATGAACATCCACTTCCTGCCGAGGTCCTCGAAGATCGATCCCCCTGGCGGTGGCCATGGACGAATCCCCGCCTCGGATGTGGGCAGGATCGGGGGTCTCTCCAGGTGGCTTCAGACCACCCCTGGCCCTGAGGAACTTAGCTGCCCCGATACGCAACACGCAGCACGTAGCGTACTGATACGGAGCCCAAAACGTAGACTGAAAACGTAGGTATGACACGATACGTTCGCCAAAACGTGGGCCAATACGCTCAGCCAACACGCAACGAATTGGCAAGGACGTGTTAAGAACGGTACGTGTTGCGTTTAAAAACGGGCGCATCGAGACAGCTAAACTGATGAAGGTGGCCTGCCGACCACGGCCCCCCTCGACACCCGAGACACCGTGGAGACATCCAGAGCAGAGAGCCGCTGTCCACGCCCAGGATGGCGGCCCGGAGACAGGCGGCAAATGCGTGCTTCGCACGCTGGCCCTTCGACGAGGACTTGTGAAACTGCTGTGAAGGACAACGCTAGGAGGCAACGACCAGAAGGTCTTCGTCGGAAGGATAAAAGGATTGAGCCCCATTGCGGGGCTGCTACGCCAAATTAGGCCGCGGACTAAGCGGCATTAGACCAGATTTAAAGGGATGTAACTGGATTAAGCAAGATTTCGGACCAGGGCAAAATAAGAATTTGACCTCTCAGGAGTTGCATCCGAAGACAACGTGCGGGAAGCAAGCGAGTCGATTTGCGGCGGCTCTTATTGGCGAGATACAGCCAAACTTGACCATAAAACCACGGCCAGAGCCTCGTGCGACCATGGACGGCCTGCGGCGGTCTCTCGTCGGCCTTCAACCCCCCGCCTTCCGCCCAAAATTGTCGGCCCTCCATCACTGTTGCGACTTCCTGGGCCAGGTCGATGTCCGATGTCCTGACGGGCCCTCTGGGGCCGGCGCCCAAAGGAGGAGCAGGAGAAGGGGGAAACGAGGAGGAGAAAGCGGAGGAGAAGCAGGAAAAGGGAGGAGGAGGAGAAAAGGAGGAAAAGGAGGAGGAGAAAGGAAGGAGGAGGAGGAGGAGGAGGAGGAGAAAGGGAGGAAGAGGAGGAGGAGGAGGAGGAGGAGGAGGAGGAGGAGGAGAAGAAGGAGAAGAAACGTAGGAGGAGGAGAAGGAGGAGGAGGAGGAGGGTCGATTTGTTGTCAACCTTCTTGGTGGGTTGAGCCTGCAGAGGCCTCTGCAGCACGTCTGGAGACCTCGCATGACCTCTGCGGGCCTCTTTTCTCCGCGGCCGGCTCTTCGTCCCAGGGCGCCCTGGTCCCCCAGAAGCGGCGACGGGGAGCCGACAAGTCGAGCAAAAGCCGCCAGCACCAAACAACATCACGACGTCGAGCTTTGGGTTCGGACGAAGCCATGAGGAGAACAATTATCCGCCGACCCCTTGTGGGTCTCTAGGCGTGTGAGACTGTTACCCAACGTAACCCCCCCCCTGCAGGGACCGCAAACAGGAGATTTGACCTCCCCCCTGGCCCCAGACGAACGCGCCCAGCCCCGGACGAACGCGTCATGGGAGCTTTGAGGGCCTCAACACGGGCCAAGAGGGCCCCAAGTGGGCCCCAAGACGATCCAAGAGAGCCCCGAATCGTCGAATGATCGTTCCAAGACGCCCAAGATGGCATCCAAACGGCCCAAGATGCCTCCAAAACGCCCCAAGAGGCCTCCCAAAAGGCACCGAAAAAGTGACAATTGCCCCATTCCTACAAGAACGCACGTCTTAAACATATTCGCCTCTTGCGCTTTCATACCGTGCAGGAAGGCCCAAAAGACCCCTAGGCCAGCTCCAAGACGGCCCACAAGGGTCCCAAGACCGCCAAAGAAGCCCCGATGACGGCCCCAGAGGGCCCCCGGACGGTGCCAAAAGGGGGCCCACGGGGGGAACCCGAACCCACATTTCCAGCCTTCGGCCCCAGGACCCCCCAGGTTGTCTCAAGAAGCCCCCAACACGCCCGAAGAAGCCCCCAGGGAGCCCGAACAGAGAAGAACCTCCCAGGAATCGGACAAGCCTTGTGGAATGCAGTCCTTGACGCGCAGTAGTTTATAGAGGGGTCGGCGGATGTGGCGTAAGCCTGTAGAATCCACGTCCGGAGGTGACGTGCTGAGCGGCAGCGTTTTCTGCGGAGGCGATACTGCAACGTATCCGATGTGTCCAATGATTGCATAATTGCAACGCTATTGTGTTACATTATTATGTCTCCCCCCCTAACCCCCTCCAGGGGCCACGCCACTTCCGTCGACCCAAAGGTGGCGGACCCCTTCTGGGCTTCAAAAACATCAAAAACCTATGAGAAATCAACAAATTCGGCCTCTTGGGCCTCTTGGGGCCCCAAGAAAGTTCCAAGACGGCCCAAGATGGCCCCAAGACGGCCCCAAGAGGGCACATGAGGCCCCCAAGAAGGTCCAAGAGGCCCCCAAGAAGACTCCCGAGAGCGCCTCCGGAGGCCAAAATCTTTGATTGTCCTATCGTTTTGGGACAATTTCAACGTTCTCGCCTTTTTCGGCTCTCAGAAGGCCATGACGGCCCAAGCAGCCTCCAAAAAGGCCCCCAAACGGCCCAAGAGGCCCCCGCCCCAACACGGCCCAAGAGGGCCCCGAGACGGCCAAAAAAAACGTCAAGACGGCCCAAAAAGACCCAATACGGCCCCAGAGGACCCCAAGAGAGCCCCAAGGCGACCGCGAGAGGCTTCCAAAGTGGCCTCCGAAGTGGCCAGACGGCGTAAGAGCGCCCAAGCACGGCCCAAGACGTCCCCAAAAAGTCCCAAGAGGCTCCAAAGAGGCCCCCCAAAGGCTCAAAAAAAACCCTAAGAAGCTTCCAAGAAGCTCCCAAGAGACTCCCAGGAGGCCCCACAAAGACTGGACTGAACGTGCTCTGAAACACCCTGCAGAGTTTTCTGCGGAGGCGATAATGCAACGTACCCAATGTATCCAATGATTGCATCATTGCCACATATTGCATTGTGTTACATTATAAATTATGTCTCCCCCTAACCCCCCCTCTGGGAGCTGCGCCACAGGAGCGAACCAAAGTGCCCCCCCCTCTCCCGGGGCTCAAAAACCTACCAAAACCTGTAGACAATCCATGATTTCGACTTATTGGGCTTCTCGAAGGGCCAAGAGGGTGCCAAGACGGCTCCAGATGGGCTCTGCGCGGACCAAGACAGCCCCGAAACGGTCCAAGACGGCCCCAAGAGGGCCCAAAAAACCCCACTGACGGCCCAAGAGGGCCCCAAGAGCGCCCACAACTGCGCCTCCAGAAGCCAAAATCATTGATTTCCTTTTGGTTTGGTAAGATTTTAGCGTTCTCGCCTTTGCGGCCCAGGCAGCTCCCCAACTCGCTCCTGAACAACCCAAGAAGCCCCCAAGAGGGCCCCAATACTGCCCGACAGAACCCCGAAACGGCCCAAAGAGGCCCCCAAGACGGTCCAAGAGGCCCCTATGACGGCCCAAGAAGACC